ACACGTTTTATGTTAGTGTTATAAGATCTATAAATAGTAAAAAATTGCTGAAAAGACAGAAATACAGGTAACTTAATGAATGGTTGGCATCTGATAAAAGTGCAAATCAAAGTAATTTTGGTATGAAAAATCTCGGTAGACAGTAGGGGCCGGAATCCTAATTGGATACACAGAGAAAACTAATAAACTATCCTTTGTGTTGATAGTTTTTTCGCACTGAAAGGCAATTAAACGTTAACTAGATTGTATGCAACGACAGGAATATGATTTTCAGTTAAATAATATATTTTTTCGATAGGCATAAGAAAAAATTTTTTTTTATGCAGACACCACTTTTACAGTAGAATTGCATTTTGTTTTATGCAATAATTAAGCTATATATTTGCATAGTCACTTTGCAAATATTCGATGATCGGGTAACTATCGGAATCTGAGTAAAAACCATACGAGTTCAAATGTATGGTAAGCAACGGTATTATATATAAAGTAGAATTACAAGTAGAATTATAATCATATTCACATGATTTACAAGCTTCGATGACAATGTGTTAGATTTTTTAAGTTAGTTTCAAATTGAAGACTGTAGGTTCGATAAAGTAATGTTTTATGTTTTCCTTTTTTATGATACTTTTGTATTTTGCAAAACTTGATCATTTATCAAAATTATAAAATAAAAAGTCTAGAAAATGAAACACACGATTTATCAACTTATGTTTCATAAAGTTAAAAGATATAATAAAAAATCAACTGATGAAAACTACACACAGGATTTGTCCAAGATTCGAACTTGCGCCTTCTACATGTAGGTTAACAAACTTCGTCATACTTACCACTAGGCCATCGATCAGTATTAATTGATATAATGATACATGTAATTATTACTTACAATAAAAATCGTTAACATTAATCATAATAAGTTATGTAAGCTATCGAAACAGCTCCCGGAAATTATTGAGTCTCGGGGAAATATTGCCAAACAATACTTGCTTATCTAATAATGATAACAGTTTCTTGACAAAATTGCTAAGCAAGTTTGCTTCAAATATGATGTTTTATTATAACATAACATAAATTTATTGAATAAAACTCTTTTACAAAGTTTATATCAAGAAAGATATAATTGTGGCAAGTACATGAAAACGTGTTTATGAATGAACATTACTCAACTTATTGTTCCTGTTTTCTTTATACTCGAGCCATTAAACTGATATTTTCTTTTATTTATGATAATACAATCATATTTCTATCCGGCGACTTGATGCTTTAGCATCAAAATCTCTACTTGTGTAATTTTGCTGTGATTAATGCTTCCGGGGGATTACTTTGTTTCCAGATTACTACATAAATACTTGTACATTTATAACAAATGTTACGCTGTATTTATATATGTACACTCCTTACATTAGTGCACATTAGTGCAAACTTCAGATAAGAAACTTCTTTTCCTACAATACAATCTCTGCTTCAAACAACAAGTATAATATACCGTTAATAAAAGCTCTGTTCTGATTGGCTAATTACCGTTGATGTAACGAGCCTGCAAAAAATGTGAGTTTAATCAAGGCATTATATTCTTTTAAAAGTAAAACATATACAATATTATAGACACAAGTATATAAATATAAGATACTGTGGTTATTGACTTAATTAAAGTAATAAAAAATAAAGTTTTTAATTAATTAATTGAATGATTGAACATTTATAAATTAATTAACTTACAGAAATAGTCGTTTCACGCTATAATATACAATTTTAGACTGATGTTGAGGTAGGTGTATATATGATTATAAAGTGTAATTAATCAATTAATTAATTTAATTAATAAAAAAATTAATTAATATAATTAATTACTCAATAAATAAATAAATTAATTAATATAACATAATTAAGTTATTAATTGATTAATTTGCACTATATACAACTAACTAAAAGAAGGAAGAAAAAACAAAATGAAGAAAATTGGTTTGAACACAATTCTCAGACGATTTAAAAAAAAATCAAATAGTTTTGTTGCATGTTTATATATCTGCGCCGTCTTATTTATTTCTAACATAATGAAGGAATATAACATATAAACCTCTCTAATCTAGTTCACTGACATTCTTTGGCAGCTGCAAAGATGAATTAATTTTCTTTGTTATTTGAAAGGGTGCCTGTTTTCTAGGTTTCTGGTTTTAAATCAGTCTGAAGTGTTTGGGAAATGTTACTCTGGATTTATATATCGATCCTCCCAACATTAGTGCAAAATTTAGGTAAGAAACTTCTTTTCCTGGCTTATTTATTTCTCTTTCATCTTATACTTCATTTATTGTACATTTATACTTCGCATTTAAATTTTTACATCAATTTATAAAAACAGCTGAAATGGACTAACATTTATTAAGTTATACTTAGTTGTTGACTTTGTTTCTTAATTTAAATTAAGATGGTGGAATAAAGGATTATACTAAAATATTAGACGTATTACTGTTAATGAATTTTAAATGAATAAAGAGTAGTGTAGTATAAGAGACATTTTAAAATACCAATAGCACGTTAATTAAAAGCCTGATATAAAATTAAATGATTTATCCCCAGAAACAATTTTCTGTTTTATTGTTTAAATGGTAAAGAAATATATAACGAGTATATTCAGAGAGCTTCTGCCATAATTATTGTCTTTGTCTATGTAGATGAAAAAGTTAATTCTACCACATGTGTTGAAGCTGCTGATAAACATAGATCTGCACTACTAGATTGTCACGGAGGTTATATTTCCCATATTTCATTCGAATCTGGCACAGGGAGATGTTGGCAACAAGATTGTAAGATATCTTTATAAAATAAACTGCTTGTAAATAGAGCTTTTCCTGTTTATAAGATTTTATGCCCACATAAAATAATTTATGTCATTGGTTCGTCCCTATTCTCATTACTGTACTGAATATTACCCGTTACGGGTCGGGTTTTAGCCAAGTACATCTTAGCCTAAATCACGTGATGCTAATTAACCAACAAGAAAAGCATTGATGCAAAGCATCAAAGGGCGCCCAAACAGCAGGTGCAGATGAACTAGTAGATATATGATGACAAGATATTCTTATAAACTTTTCAATGGTTCATTGGGTTTTACCAGAATTGTATATCACTTTTGAATGAACGGACGAAAGACATTGTTCATTATTTATAACTTTGATCGGCATGCTAGAAATTAGAATATTACTTGTTATTTCTTTATGATCGTGGTTATTAATAGCAACGGATATACATGTATAACAATCATTTATAATCCATATGTGTAACGCATGATCAACACCATACTTGTGTAATTGTCCCTTATTATGTTATTGCTATTAACGAGGACCCCCTCTTAAGGTATCTGTTCACACTAAGTAACAATATGACACTTGTTGATCATGTTGAGCATAATTGTTTATTATACAATAAATGTAATTTCTATTTTAATAAAAAAATACAGATTTTATGAATATTGTTTTTCTTTTCTTTTTTTGTGTGTTTTATGCGCTATTTTAATACTGAGTTTTTACGTTTACTACTATTTTAAGAATTCAATTGTCATAATGATCGACGATTATAAGTCAAAACTTAACTGGAAAAAGTCAGTAAATCATGGTTAATCTTTCAATTTATAATATTGTTTATTCTTAAACCATATACATGTACATTTGCATTTTTCTTTTATCATTTTTAAATTATCAATCAATTGAATAATTCATAAAATCTGATTTGTAACTTTGAATAATTCCTCGGAATCTTTACTAAACACGAATAACAAATTATATAAAATGTTTTTAAAGTTGATAGTGTCATAGTAATGCCATAAAATGTACATTTTTTTCTCAATTATTGTACATATTTATTGTTTTTATCTCATATAGATAAAATATAACATGCGATTTGTGTTGTTGGTTTTTTTTTTCGAATTGTATGTTTATGTATAATAATAATCAATCAATTCGAGAGTTGATCTGTGTTTATTAATTATTGTAACCAAACTAAGTGACAAACATTCATTTTGAAAAAAAGCTTATTTATCTGTAAAATATTTGTTCTGTTCTGTAACGATATCTACTCCAAAACCGGGAGAGACCGGACAATAAACGTGTGGTACTATTCGCCGGTCATTAGTAAATCCCGGGAGAGACCGGGAATTACCTAGGAGTACATCCCTCTATAAATAGATTTTCGGAATATTAAGGTCATCAACTCATCATTCTATTAACAGCTTTCGGAATAACATACCATAATAACCCACTGTGTACTACAAAATGATAAGCAAAAATACCCCGAAGAGCGCGATTTATTGACGGAAAAGGTTATTTCATTTGAAAATGTTTGCATTGCGAAATTCTCCAGTTCGCCATTCATTGTACATATCGCGACTAATTAACAATCAAGCACCCTCATACCGATCGGAATGACCGGCTTTTCTTATTGGCAACTATAAAAGGCTCGAGAAGTTGCTGTCGCCCTTTCACAAAATCTCATTTCATTCCAATAGGCGCCGCGCTTCGGCGCGGACGCCAATGATTACATTAGATATATCACAAAGAAATAATTTTGGCGAGTAATGATTCTCGCCTTTGTTTATTACTAAATTTATCTATTTTTAAAGTTATACGCTTTATTTCAAGTGAACTAATTACGTATTACGGCGGACAGTTACCTTATTAATCTGCTGGAAGCGAATTTTTGGGACGGTGACTCCGGTTTCATATTCAATTTCGTGACGAAAATGGCAATTCATTTCACGGCAACTTTTTTGGGATAACTGGACCAACGCTTTGAAAGTTTGAGACATCATCAGTCAGGAAACAGATGTGCCGGTCTTTGGAACTAATGACATTTACAAATCAGAATTTATCCACAAAACGTTGCTTGTCATATTACAGATTTAGTAGATACCTTTCTATTTTCGAGTCCAGAAAGTTACCGTTCGGAAACCCCCGTTCTTCAACAGTTCAAGTTTTGTACAGATGCCAAACCAAACATAAACGATCATACTTATGGCGAATAAATGGTTCATGGTTGACATGTCTAAACAACAATTACCTGTTTACACCAGATGGATGCCACCTGTTTACTCTGTCAGCTACGTCTCATCAATGAGATAAGGACAGCAGCTTGGTCGCCGCCCCGAAGCATTTCATTTGTCAGGCATAAGATAAATTTAAAGATATGTATTTTGTTTACTATGTCTTGTAGTTATATTAGTTGACCGTGATCAACGATTTAATGCCCGCCCTAGTATACATAAGTATTTTGTTTACTTTGTCGTAAAGACTATAAAGTTATATTGTACTAAAGTCAGTAGTTTAATAATGCCTGCCCTGGTATACAAACTATGAACAGATGAAGTCTAGGTTTGTTGCTTTGCATTAACAAATTAATATAATAAGCTTTTGTTATGACCCGTGCCGTGGTTCTTAATGAATTTTTCAGTTGGTAAATTTCTTTATATTTATAAAATATAAGGTTATGCATTGCTGGGTTTGTTTTTGGTCATAAATTATTCTCATAATGTACAAGAATGCAGTATTAATCAGGCATATTTTTCCCTGGATACATAATTGAAGTTTCTATATTAATCATGTTAGTTATTACTTATTTCCAATTCATTTACAGTTCACACAAACTTCTCATTAGAGTAGATAATAGTACATGTTGATTTTCTGCTAGTCTACTATACATTTCTACACAATCATCATAGCAGTATTATTTAGCAAACATGTTTTAAGTAACAGTCCAGATTTTGAGCGATTAGCCTTTATTTTCCATTTAATTTTACAATTTTTTTTGACTCCAACTAAAGTACAGTTAGTGTGTGATTTGTGATTTAATTTATAATTTTCCATACATTCATGTTTCACTGTTTTAGTTTTTCAGTCATTGAATTTAGATTCAAAATTACTGTTTTGCAGGTTCAATTCTAATTTTGAATTTATTCTCCTATACACTTAAATCAAATTTTCTTAAAATTTTACACTAACCTGAATTTATTTTTCACTGGCCTTGACCAGTGTTAAATTCTAACTGGTATTTACAACAGTTCAAACACGATTTACAAAACAAGGTTAGTTTTCACAGTCCATGTTAGTTGGCATTTATACATAGTCTAGTATACATGGCTTAAAATATAGTTTATGTCTACGTGACTTAGTTAACATTTAATACACATTTTCAACACAATATAGTTGACAATCCATGTGAGTGTAATTTTTGTTTATAATTACACATATGATAAATGACTTGGTTTATAATTCATGTCTGCTTGATATAGTTTAACAGTTCACACATAGTTTTATAATACATGTACATGTAAGTGTGATTTTTGTTTACAATTCACACACAGCCATGATACATGGCTCCGGCTATAGACCATGTCTGTGTGATTTAGTTGACCGATACGCATGGTTTAGTTTACACGCATATTTTCTCCACATGGTTTAGTTTACACTCATTATGAGTGTGATTGAGTTTAGATTTCTCGCATATCCAGTTATACATTTGCTTAAGTTTATAGACCATGTCTGCGTGATTTAGTTTACAGTTCACACCTATTTTCTACACATGGTTTAGTTTTCAGTCCCATGTGAGTGTGATTTAGTTTTACAGTTCACAACTTATCCTATTAATACATGGCTTAGTTTTATAGCCCATGTCTGCGTGATTTAGTTTACAGTTCACGCCTATTTAGTACACATGGTTTAGTTTACAGTCCATGTTAGTGGTGATTTAGTTTATAGTTCACACTTATTCTATTATACATGGCTTAGTTTATAGCCCATGTCTGCGTGTGATTTAGTTTACAGTTCACGCTTATTTTTCACACATGTTTAGTTTACATTCCGTGTGAGTTAGTTTTAAAGTTAACACATATCCTATTATACATGGTTTAGTCTATAGTCCATATTTTGCGTGATTATGCTTATGAATCATGCACAATGTAGTCAGGATTAATTTAATAATACTCAATTACATTTCATGACATTTAGTCCTACTTAATGACAAAATAATTAATATTTTCAGATAAAACAGCCACAAATTCTCCTTACACCTTTGTTCAGTTCCACAACAGACAACAAGGGAAAAGTCAAAACACCAAGAATGTTCAGTAAATCCTGCAAAAGACCAAGACTAGTCGAGGGAGCTATCATATCATTGAATTAATAGTGCAAGCGGAGCCCGAGACCTAAGACAATGCTTGCATGTTTCATAGGTTTCAAGTTGAGTCAGATAAAGAATTAACTGATTGCCTGGCATACATGTTTTACACAGCTCATTTACAAAGGAAACTTGCGCACTCAGTGATTTTGTTGTCTTTATCCAAAAACTCCAAGCTTGTATGAATATAACCTATAAAACACAAGTGTAAAATATGTATTCAGATCATGCCATGATACACTTCAGATTAATTACACTCTAATTAGTAAACCAAGTGTTAAATATTCTTATGCAAGGATATTTAAAAAAAAAAAGATAATTGTGATCTAGTCCTGGCAACCCTCGTTATACCTTCTGCTCCAAAACCTTACACCAACACTACCCAGTACACCCTTCAAGTGTTGTAGATCTGTACTTGTTTTGTATTCTTGGTTTAGTTTACACGCCTTTGCTATGTATTTTTTTTTTCAGCATACCATTGCTTGTACTAGGCATTGCTAGTTGACATGCTTCCCATTTGTTTGTCTGTACTTTGTCAAGCTTGGCTTAGTTTACACCCTTTGCTATTATTTCAGCATACCATTGCTATTATTGGCATTGCTTAGTTGACACGCATTTGCCATTTAATTGTCCTGTACTGGTCAGCTTGGCTTAGTTTACACGCCTTGCCTATTATTTCAGCATACCCTTGCTTTATAAACATTGCTTAGTTAACCGCTTTGCCATTGTGTTTGTCTGTACTTGTCCAGCTTAACTTAGTTTTAAAAAAAAAAAAAACCCCCTCCCCCCCCCCCCCCCCGCCCCCCGGGGGGGGGGTAAGGGTGGGGTGGGGAGGTGGGGGGCCCCCCCCCCCCCCCCCCAAAAAAAAAAAACCCCCCCCCTCCCCCTTCGGGTGCCCCCCCCCACTTCGCCTCAAATTTTCCCACACTTCCGTTCTCAGATTACCTATGAATTCCACAAAATTCGCCACACAAGCGCAAGTCGTTCTCTGTCTATTTTTTTTTTTTTTTTTTTTCCACCCCCCCCCCGCACAAAAATAAAAAAAAAAAGAAAACCATAAAACATATTTTTTTTTTTTACCCCCCCACCCCCCCCCCCCCCCCCCCCCCTGCCCAATGTTTGCCCACTTTTTTGGGCTTACCTCTCCCTAACTATTTTAAAAAAGGGCCCCCTGCATTTTTTTTGGGGCGGGGGCGGGGGCGGGGGGCGTGGGGGGGGGGGGGGATAGGGCCCCCCCCCCCTTTTTCCCAAGGGGGGGGGGTCTTTTGGGCCGCTGAAAAACCCCCCCCCCCCCCCCCCCCCCCGGGGGGGCCCCCCCAAACTTCTTTTTGGGAGGGGGGGGGGGGCCCCCCCCCCCCCCCCCCCCCCCCCCCGCGGCCTTACTTTTTTTGTAGCTTTATTTTTTTTATAAAATTATAAATAGTGTTGCATCACTTAGTTGAAATGCTTTTGAAATTTGTATACAAGTCTCCAATTATGTACTGTCTGTCATGCTTGCTTAGTTTATTTTTTCCATTGCTCTGCACGCTAATGCTTTAATTTCAATATGAAATTGGATTTTAAATTGTACATTTGTACATACAATTAAATTGCACATCATACCAGAAGTTTGTTAACTAATCTGATGGACATACTTGTAGGTTACAGTTTTCGACTTTAATTTTCTTCGTAATTTAAGATTCTGTCGGTATAAGGCAGCAGATCTTTAGATAAAACAAAATCGACAGTAAATTACAGCACTCAGTTAAATTACAGCAAAAATGAGTGCCATAACATATCTTGTCAAATTACTGACAGTTCAAGGCTTGCAGGGACAATGGACATACTGTAGGTTACAGTTTTCCACTTTTAATTTTTCGTAATTTAAGGATCTGTGCGGTATTAAGGCAGCAGAATCTTTAGATATAGAAAAATGACAGTAAAAATTGCAGCACTTCAGTAAATTACAGCAAAACTGAGTGGCAATTACCAATCTTTTCCAAATTACTGACAGTTCAGGCACTGCAGTACATATGGACATAACTGTGGTTACAGTTTCCACTTTTATTTTTCGTCAATTTGATGATTCTTGTTATCAGGGGCAGCAGATTTTTTAGATAATTATAGAAAGAAAACAGTGAATTAAGCAAACTGAATGTCATTACAATCTTTCAAATTACTGACAGTTCAAGGCCTGTCAGTTTTTCTCCTTGGCTTGAAAGTGCAAGTCCGCAGTTTAAATTTATTTAGTGCCATTAATATCGTGTATGACAGTAAAATTAATGAAAAACCTGTGGCAGATATGCACAATTTGTGGGCTTCATTTAGGTCTATATAAATCTGACAGTTATCAAGGCTGCAGGTTTCATTAATTATGCATTACTGATAATTTCAGATTGAGTTCATGCTACTGCCATGATGTGTTAATATCACTAGTGAGGATTGGTAATGTTGATAAGTACATTTGTTACTGAAGTTTTTATGGTATTATTTGTAGAAATTTTTCCATTCACGGTCTTTGTTTTCAAGCGGTTTTGTTATGTGTAGTTTTTTTGGAGAGCATTATTTTGTACATAATGTAATTTTATACCACAGTTTTCTACATTTTTTACCATATATGGTATCACCATTGCTCTTTCACGAAAAACTAAGTAGCCTAATTATATATAAAAAACTAAAATGTATACACCCCCTTTTTTCTAATTATCCTTAAATTTATCTTTAATTTATATTTTTTTATGCAACAAACATATAATGAACAAAATTAATCATTAGTTAGACATGTCACATTGTATTTAGATCAAATGCATTTATAAGGTGTTAATTAAATATTTTACATTTTTGATTCCAATTTTACATTAGTCTTAACTGATTAATTGCGAAAAAAGATTAGCTAACATATTGACATCTACATCATTTCGGTTCTAATGCATTTTAAAGGTTTAATTTAATGATTTAAAGGAATAGATGTTTGAGAGAATTGGTATATCCGATAGGACTAACGCAAATTGAAAAAACACTAACTGAAATTCAATGTGTTCACATACCTACATAGGAGATTGTGTCTGTTTAAATGCCACCGCTGCCATGCACTCCAACTTCAGTCTATGCATTAATTTTATTTACAATGTTACTGAAGCGCCGAATTCCAGTTTTGAATTCATATCTACTAATATATTTAACTTAATTTTTCGCATATTTTTCACTTCATGACACTAGCTAGGTTTCACAAGCAGGGGCCTGTGCTTAATTTTAATGACTGCAACTTGGAAGCCATGGCCGTGTGCAATTTTTGCTTTTTCATCATTGTAGGATATCTGGATACTGATACAGTAATAGTCCATTTCCTAATTTACAAATTTAAAAGAATTTTTTTCTAGTTTTTATTGTCATTAATGACTATTAGTATTTTGTTCTCTGTTATCAAATTTATTAGTAAAAAAAAAAAATATTTATATACATTTAGAGCTATTGCGTTAAGCTTATTTTGCCCTTCGTTGTTTAAACAAATTATTATATACTTCATTTAAATTTAGTTCATGTTCCCCTTTTTGGTTTGGACGTTGAAAAAGCCCTGATAAAACATACTGTCAGATGTCTCAATAATACATTTAACATGTAATTTGTAATAAAAATTTTCACAGCTAATTATTTGATCTAATAACTCGGTTGCTGATTTTACAATAGCATATCATGTAGTGTGCCTGACAGTTTTAGGCTGCAGTCCACATATATTGATAGAACCAGTCAGGATCCATTTAAATGTTAGACATTAATTCTAGACATATTATATATATTGTCATTAGATATATGATTTGTCTTAACATTTTTGTCCTAACATAACTTGATTAAATTAATGGTTACTTCAAAAAATTTAGTCCATTCTGTTTCAATCCTTATATCACAGGTCAAGCTCATACCTAGTCAAATCTCTGGGTGGCGGAAGGTTCCCTTTGTGGCGGTTTTTACCTCACAGTTTGGTTATTTCGATACAAATATGTACATGCAATGTTTGTTATTATGTAACATTTGTCATTTATGGCATTTAATAAATGCCCTATTTCATTCAACCTAAGTGTTGTGTTTTATCTCATACCAAACAAGTTCGTCTTGCCAGTTATATTTGCTTGACCTGGACAATACATAAATACATAACATGCAAAGATTAACTCTTTTTGTTCGAAATTTAATACGTGGGAAATTGTGAAAATCCACACCGATTAAAACGATTAAATGTAACTTTGTAAAATATGACAAATCTGTTTGATGACAATATATTGTTATAAATAAAATAGTTTTACCTGTTTATAAAACACATTCTTATAAATCATTCAAACAGGGAATATAATGAAATGCAAACATTACAAATAACTTCTAAAGTAAAACATATTTAGGATTCATTGTCATAGAGTAATGTTTTGCTAAATAAACTTTGAAACATGGTATTATTTGTGGAAATGCAAATATTTTTGCAGAATGACATGTAATGATACTGTCAGGAGTGTGGTCTGTTACATATTCCTTCAACTCAAAATGTTGACAAAATACAGGTGACTGGTGTAAGAAACACATATATATCTTCAAAATGTCATACGAAATGCATGCAGAAAGGAAAGAAAGTCTGTACGTCTGTTTAATAAGCTGGAAAACTGTAATCTTATATATTTATTCACTGGAATGTATCACTTCCCAATGTCTGGCTAATAGTAATTATATGTTAAATAAAGTGTACAACCGTCACTTTAAAGCAAATAAACACAAAGCAATGTCTTACATTTCTCTGCTTTTTATTTTTTTCGAAGGAAAATGTATTGGAAGGACGCTTGGTTCATTGGTGAACTTTCTTGTTTGTCACTGGCGCAAAATCTGTTATATCCGCTGGCCAACAGGCCAGATCTTTAGCCAGTATTTTGTCGGAGGTTGTATTGGCAAACAACCAACTTTTATGTCGGTCAGTTTTAAGTGCTTCAAACCAACCGATTTCCTATTGGGCTATGGCTACCTCAAGACACCGGGATCAGGTTTTATATCTACTTATAGCTATTATTAACTTTTACGTAATAATATTTATTCATGTACTAACAGACGTTTCAATAAGATTTCATGTCAGATGCGCTCAAATGTAAAAATGTCTTATTGAAAATGAGAATGAAGGCCTGGTAAACAAGGGGAACGATCTTCCAAAAGATCCGGAAGAACACAAAAAATTACATTTGACCTTCAAGTGTAAGCTTGACCATGAGGACAGAAGAAAATCATTATTATTTTAAAATTTATGAACTATACCGACACTAAATCCTCTGATAGTTAACCTTCAGGTGTGACCTTGACCCAGTAAGTGTTGTTAGGATTATGGCGCAAATATAAAACAAGTTCGTAGCCTCATTGTTGAGGTTGAGCAAAACTTAAAAAGAAAATCTACAAAGGATGAAGGATTTTAAAAAACTTCCATCGAATTCCCAATGAATCGAAAATGCAATAAATTATACATATTTTCGTTTAACTGAAGATTAAACGACCATTTTCATTCGATCAAAAATATTTTGAAATATCTTGTGGACACAAGATTATATATATTCAGGATGACAGAATTATTGACCTGTCCTGACCATTTTCGAAAATTAATATCATCACTTTTTACTTAAAATGTGACCTTGACATTTGAGCCAGAGACCTGAGTCGTGCGCACGACAGGTTGTCACAATGTCTGTCGAACTTATGCATAGGTATTTTAAAATTCTTTAGGAATGACAAAATTGTTGACCGTATACATCAATCGGTATATATATTTTGTACAATTTAATAGAAAAAAAGAAGAAAAAAGTCAACTTTACGGATTGAATATGATCAAAAGAAAATTTACTGATACTTATTGTTTCTATAGCCATATAAACTCAAAATATTTGCTCGGCAGAACAACGGATGGACGGACGTTTCAAAACCTCCATGAATCCCAACTTTTCTTTAATTGTGATTAAACCCTTGATATAAACTTTAAAATAAGTTGATTTTGGTAAAAAGGCATGCATCATAAGCGGGAAAATAATAATTTAAATAAATATAAATACATTATCCATTCAGGCAATTGGTCAATATGATTACAGGTCTACGTCCTCTTTGAAAGGCGTAATATTATTTGAAGAAAGACAAATATGTCAACTGGTTGAAAGAGATAAATTTTTTCTTTAAAGAGCACATGTTAACAAAACCATCATGAATATCTGAAACAAAATATTATGACTTAACACATTGAAACGTAAATAAGATATAAGAGATATAACAAATTGCTTCTATCTCATAATTAAGATTTTAAATTAAAGAATTCTAGCTTTTGTTACTTTAACAACACATGTTGATCCTGAAAATCTTTCTTTTCAAACACTTATTTTACAAGTTTACCTTCGAATCAATCCGAGAAAGTTTAGACTTACTCACGATTCGCCCACTTATATTCACATACTTACAGTTTGCCACACTTTAGGTAGCACTCCACAGTTAATTTCAAGTTCCTGCCGTCAATGTCCTACAAGCAATACGTCTAATAATTCTGATACCAAACTACACAACCTGGAAAAAGAAAACACATTTTGTTGAGAACATATATGACATAAGATTGCAAATCTACAAAGAAATTATCCCATCTGCAATAGGCAGGCAGTCAAAAAATTTGCAATTCATTCCGTTGAAGCCCAAAATCTACAGTGGCCCGAGACCCAAAACAACACATTTCGACCCTCTGGCAAAAAATATCTGCAAATATACAGGCTAAAGGAACACCGTCTCTGCTTTAGCAACTCCCTATACATGCAAAATATCACAAAGAAACTAGTCCTCAACCTTGTAGATTTTTTGCTACTGCCAAAAGTTTGTACCCCCTGTAAAATGACTTCTTTTTACCGTGCATGCTGTATAAAAGCAATGTTTACAAAAAATGGCGGCCTTGACATTCATAATCAACAGCATGTGATTTCTGGCCATGTTTTCGAATTTGCCAGTGATCATATTAGATGTCACAAAAACAAATTTTATGCTGAAACCAGTCATTTAAATCCAGAATATTCACTATATCCAAGAAATCCTCCCAGGCCATTCGAAGCTGTGGCTTACATTACTGTGGTGTGCTACCTTAGTGACAATGAGGGACAGTAGTGAATAACCTCCCCTGAGTACTCCCTATAAATAGATAGGTCCTAAGCTATTGGATTACTCGGACTTTATCGCCTATTTCTGTGTGGCAAACTAAATTAATTAGGGCTAATTATGATCATTTGTAATATTCAGATTAGATATTGTGATAAGATGTAGAATCTGTTGACATAAATGTAACATTTTTTCCTTAAGGTTTACATATTTGTTGATGCATGTGTAAATAATTGATTAAGACATATCAACCTGTCTTATATAAAACTCAACGATAAAAGCAAAGGATTCCAAATATTTGGACCTACTTACATTTTGGTTAACCTCGGTTTTTATCAAGGGAAGATAATCCACTACTGTCCCCCATTCAATAAAGCTTAAAACTTCTTAGCACTAGTACAACAATCATAATTATTACATTTCCATTGCACACATTTATTACTTTAGACATTTTGACAGACCTTCATTCCATTAGGGCACAATATTGGGTACAATAGTGAATTAAATGAAAACCTTACCTCCGAAAATAGAAGAAAGGCAAGATGGTTTACCATAGTGATGTTTGAATATTAAAATAACGCGAAATTGATAAGAGTCGGTCTAATAATGATCAATGGTAGGATACTACGTCATCGCGAACCTGCAAAATGCTCCAAATTGGACTGTGTTTTTATGTAAACATCCCGTCGGCTCGAAGGTATAATATCTTTTTATTGAAATAAGAAATAGTTAAAATATAATGTCTTGCACGAAAGATTGTTTTTAGTGCAAAAATGTACTTGATATAATCAAGAAAACAAAACGTTTAAATTTTACTACCTAATTTAGTCCTGAAAACAGGATAAAGTTTACTTTCTAAATGCTCCCACTCGGACTCCCAAGTAAAATGTAGCCAGTTTTCAGGCTTAAACCAGGCAGTAAAATTTTAAACGTGTTTTTTAAAAAATACATATCACGTATTAAAGCCAATCTTTTGTGCACTACATTATTTTTTGATATTAGACGATTTTAGAAAAAAATATATCTCCGAGTTTACAAAGATTGGGAGCATTTTGCAGATGCACGATTACGTAGAAAATCACAGTGAGGTTCATAAGTAACATTTGTTTAGGTGCGAAATAAATATTGCACTGAAACGTCACTGCATTTGGCATATCCGTATGTCTAAAAAGTGTGTACACTACACTAACTTTTAACAATGTTGAAGAATGTCCTCTGTTATAATGAATAATAATGAAACAACTGTTATCATTATTTGTCAGTTTTATCACGGACTTCTAAACATGTTTATGATGATTGTATTTCTTCTGTTTTAGATATAGAGCATAAAACTTATCTAATCGATATCTGTAGCAAGTTTAAAAGTGTTGAAAACAGTAATGAATCATGTGACAAAAGACAAGGATTTTCCGACTCAGGCGGTATCATCAGAAGCCACGCACATTACCCTATAGTAAATTTAACACCTGAAAGAAAGTGTTCTGTGAAACTGTACTGGCCAAAAGGACAAAAGCTTCTTGTAGCCGTTCATAGCGTTGACTTTCGTTATGACGATAGCCTAATAATTATAAACAATGGCAAGCCAGAAAATGCAACTTCTAAAAAAACTTTCCAATTTTCAGACGGAAACGAAACTTTATTTGTTTTTAGTGTAGGAGAGAAGTATTTTATGAAAAAAGCAAGTGGTTTTCTACTTTATTTCAAATGTAAGTTAATATTACTTAACATTTTGATTTACTAATATATTTTATTTAGACCATAATTTCGTAATCAAATATTAGAGAACTATATCATGACTGAATTACTGAAATCTAATGACAATATTGAATAAGTAATTTATTCAGTATTTTTATTCCCACATTGTAAGTGGGGGTTGGCATATAGATTTGCCCTTTTCCGCCCGTCCGTTTCATGTTAGTTCGCATGTACCTCTAAAAGTGTTTGACCTACGGTCAACAAACTTTAAAAGAACGTGAATTGTGCACGTAGGGCTACACGTTTGCGTGTGTATTAATTCATTTTTTTAGATTTCTTGCCCTTGACTATACTTTTGCAATTTCCAAATTGCGTGATGCGTAGCTTGAAAAATATTTGACCTAGAGTCATGCACTTTTAAAGGACTGTTGCTCAGCATGAGTAGGTATACATTTGTGGTTGGGAAAAATCAAGATATCAACATTGGAAAAATTTGATGTCGTTTTTATGCCTTAGACCACATACGGGTATGTAGAATTCCCTTTGTCTATCCCTCTGTCATACTGTCCTGCTGTTAGTGGGGGCACCTGTAGCTTATTGACACAATTCTTGTTTTTATTTCATTTAGCCAAACAAAATCATTTATTATTTTTGCACGCATGCGTGTTAAAATGAATAATAAACACTTTATAGGTGTCGCAATGACACACGTAATATTTTCTATAAAATGTCGGGAAAATAGTTTCCAACTTTTTCATTAACTTAATCTTTCCATTATTATCTTCCTACATACACCTTTCTCTAGCATTTTATGATCGCAAAAATATCTCATGTTTCTTAATGATCTATGTCAATTATTTCTTGTTGCTTTAAATGATCATTGTTACTGTTTTTCACTGACACACCTATATTGTGATGCCAACTATTTAGCTCATTTTCGCTTTGTTTGTTTAATGCATGCTTGTATGGTGTTAACACATAATGAATGCACGGAAGCGAAAAAGCTGATAAATAACAACTGCTGTTCATTTTCATTTTTTCTACAATATTTGATCGCACTTAGTTTTGTTATCTCGAAACTGTTGTGTAACATTTTGTGTATGAATACATAAAAATATATGTCTATGCATTATTTTGACACGCACGAATTTTCTATAAACAGTTGTACCTAAAGATGACCAGAGCTTTCAGGATGCATGTGCGATAATCATGGAACCTGGAAATGACAGTCTAGTGAGTGGCGTGCCAGCTCGTTTCCAGAGTCATACATCGGTAGATTTGCTGCAGGAAAATATAAAATCTGATTTGACTCCGTGCACACGAACATCATCTGCCACCGAACAAATACCAAAACGTAAATATAATACCTTTAACTGTACTATTTCGTTCAGACTGTGGTAATGTTACTTGTATATAGAATATATAATGTAATTTGTATACTGCTTACACTTCAAAAATAATTTCCATTAAGGTATTAAAAGTATTGAAAGATTTATCATTAACTTTTCTACATTAACATACATATTTTGATTCAATGTATAAATTGTGACGTTAACGAATAGCTCAAAAATGATAGCTTTAGTTAGTTTATATCATCCATGCATGAGCAGGTTTTGTTGTAAATCTGTTTTGTCTATTCCTTGAAGGTTGTTTAAAAAAGAAGCCAGGGAAAAAGAGGGACAAATGTACAGTTTGTGAAGGCAATCCGAATCTTAAGGCAATCCGAATCAAAAATGAATTTTTCCTGTTAATTATATTAAATTTGACCAAATATTTCATGGGAACCGGTATTTTCTTAAAATATAACCCCTTTGCTATGAATTTATTGATAAACAATCAAAGTTGCAGGCGTTTACATGAATCAAACGTCTACTTGATTTGGACCACTTACAGACGATTTCGCGCACCTGCAAATATATTGGCTTCCCGAGTTGAAAATAATCATTTTGTATTCCACAGGATGGGAGCGAAAAAGAAAAAGGTAGTTTGCAAAATGTAGCCTTACTATATATCTACACCAGGATAAATTTACTGTTGCAAATATTTCTGTTTAGTGTATTTTCTCGTTTAATCTAAAACACGCGCCACAGAGGGCAATGCGAATCAACAAGGCGTGATGACGGGGGCCGTCTCAAGTTTGTAATCAGACTAATACATATTTTTTTTTTAATAATAATTAAATAATTTTGTTTTTATAAGTGATATTTCATCCATGAAGGTTGAGTTCTATTTCATTAATTATTTTTTCTTTTCATAATGATATAATAATAATATATATCATGTATAAGAAAGAAAGCTATCTTTGTAATTGCATGCTAACCAATGCATCTGTGATACCACCTCATGGGCTAAATATTATGGCCAAAAGCAAATTAGATGTGACACTTTAAGGAGAAATAAAGTCTGAAAAACTTTTTTATGTGGTTAAATTTCATTGCCAGATAATTGAAATTCTTGCTTATTTGCAGGTTGAAGATGCTGTTATACTATAACCTTGTGTTAACATAGTTGTTTCTGAATTTTTATAGGTTGAACCTAGGCCAGCAACATCTAGTCCAGCAGTGCAAACTGCAAAAAAATTGAGAAAGAAATACAGAAGTAGAAGTTCGCCTGGCAAGGCCAAGGATAAGGTGTCAAGAGCAAGACGTGCATTGTATGAGGTTAAAGTTAATAAGGTACCTGTTAGAAAAGCTGCTAAAAAATACAATTTGTCCTATGGTTTTGTACAAAGGAGAGTTTCAGGTACTGTAGAGATTGGTGCATGTCATGGTACAGGCACTGTGTTTAATGCCAGTGAAGAGGGAGAATTTGTTGAGTATTTAAGTGAGATGGCTAAAAGAGGTATGGGCTTAAGACCTGGTGAATTTTTAGACAAAGTACAAGAAGTAGTCATAAAAGAAGGTAGAAAGACACCTTTTAAGAATGGTAGGCCATCATATGATTGGTACAGGCGCTTTATGAACAGACATAAGGATATTCTAGGCATAAGACAAGAATCATTACTGGAATCTTCTAGAGCTAAATTAACAAAGGCCAAATTAGATGACTGGTATAGTTCATACACAAAATTTTTAGTGGAAAAAGATCTAATGAATAAACCAGAACAAATCTGGAATGCAGATGAATCAGGATTTAGTTTGGGAAGTAAAGCTGGGAGGGTGATAGGACCATCAAGGACCTCATTTCCTACACAAGTACCACATTTGGCTGGGAGCTCAAGTAAAGCAAGACTGACTGTGATGTTTTGTGCCAGTGCAAGTGGGTCAATAATGCCTCCTTTCTATGTGTACCCAAAACCCCCTCCTAAAGGTATTAATCCTTTAAGCTGTAGTATTCCTGGAGGAAAAATTGAATATACTGATAAAGGGTGGATGGATGGACCAACATTTGCTAAGTTCCTTGATCATTTTGATTCCCATATTGTAACAGAAAGACCTGTTGTGTTGTTGATTGACTCTGTTAGCAGTCATATTGGTTCAAAAATATTCCAAGAAGCAAGAAGTAAGAAGATTGAATTATATAGAATTGTACCTAACGCCACGCACCTCATGCAGCCTTTGGACAAAGGTGTTTTTGGCCCCATGAAAACTCAGTGGTATAAAACTGTAAGAAAACATAATCGTGAAAACCCTGGAATTCCAATAAACAAAGGTAACTTTGCAGAGAAATTAAAAGATGCCTACAATGAATTTTATAGGCCAAGTATTGTTGTGAATAGTTTTTCCTCTTCAGGAATATATCCAGTAAACAGGGCAGTCATTTCTGATGATCAGCTAAAAACAGGCTTAACTTTTAACACAGACAGTGAACAATTAGAAAAGGATTCTATACAAAAGGAGTCTTCTGATCATGCTGAATCTCAGTGCCTAAATGAGAAAGTCTTTAACACATATGTCAGTGTACTAAAAACACCAGTCAAAGAAAAATATGAAAAACGACAAGCAGAGGGATACAATTTGCATGGAGTTTCCCCTGGGTATGACACATATATATTGCTTAAATCAAGGATTGGTGAAGAATCAAGTAACCAAGAAGATTCTATACAAAAAAGAGATAAGTCAACAGTTACTTCTAGAGAAGGCTTTGTTAACATTGATCAAATACCAGGTCAAAAGTCAGTTCAAGGACTACAATTATTAGCAGATGCTGCCTCTCGCATGACACCCTGTGTCACTTCAGACTTTGTTCAGAAGAGAAAAGTATCAGATGAATTCAATGTCCAAGATGTGTCGCCAGTTATGAAAGCCGCACTTGTCATGCCAAAAGTCAAAGAAATTAAAAAGAAGAAACGAACTAGCATACTTGATAATTTGCCTGATAACTTAACTAGTCCAGAGACTATCAGAAAACTTGCTTTGAAAGACATAGAAAAAACTAGACAATTTGCAAACAAGGAAAAAAGAGCTAAAGCAACATATCTTTTAAAATCAAAAAGAAGTAAAGACAAACAAAATTTGAAAAAAATAGAAACAGTCTCAACAACCACTGAAAATGAAGAGGAAGCTATGTGTATGGTCTGTGAATTAACATGGAAGGAGGACCAGGATCTCATGCTTGGTCACACATGGATCCAGTGTGACAAATGTGAAAGTTGGATTCACGAACATTGCTTACCAATAGATATGAAATATGATTCTGTGACAAATAGAGATATAGACTTCATTTGTCACAAATGTGAAAGAGACAAATAATATGTGAAATATTGTACAAGTATTGCATATCATAAATATTGTTTTTTAATATTTTTTTTTATTTCAATATGACTTAGATGAAAACATAGACAATGTCAAACAATTTTATGAACATGTTTTTAATAAGTCTAAGCAGCTGTATGCACTAAATCAGTTGTTTACTTCAGCTTGACTTTTGTTTATACATTATGACAGAGTTATTTGTTAATTGCATACATAAGATGATGATATATAATATATGGATATTTCACCCATGACTATTCCATTTTGGTTTTAATTATTCTAAAATAAATTTGAAAATTAATACTTAACAACTTCATTTTTCATTCTGCTCACTTACTTTATTGTATCATTTTAGGAGAAGGAGGAAATCCGAGTAGAAAATTGTGTAATTAAAGGTTATCATGCCTTTAAAATAAAGCCCCCCATGACATCACCACCAACACAATTGATGGTAGATATGGAATATACAAACATCCATGATACGGATGCATGTCTAGTATGGGTACCTGAATTGAACCAGTTTGAATCTGACCTACACAACACTATTACTGATGAAGACAGATATTTCACATTGAAAGACATAGCAGGGTTACCTGTTGGTCATGTTCCTCGTACTCTTGCCAGTTCCTTCAGAAAGCTTATTGAAATGGGTGCGTCTGTGAATTGTGAGGCAAATGATCACCCTCAACCAAGCTTCCCTCCATGGCCAGCACCCCAAGAAAAGGGTGGAGGTGCTGTTATTCCATGCACATATATTATAAGACATGATAATAAACAACAAGCTATTGATATTGTGAAAGAGGCCCTAATGAACATGAGTGAGGGGGAGTTTATTAGACTGTCATATTGACCATTTTATTTCTGTGATGTAAAAACAAGTTTATACTCTCAATTTCCCCAAAGGTGCTATTCACATTGTTTTGACCTTTAATATGTTTAATCATGTTATTCATGTAATATTATATTCATGTATAAAAAATTAATAGAAAAAATATTTAATTTTTGTTATGTTGTTATATATACTATAACAATATAACAAAAAATAATTATTTTTTCTATTACAGATTTTTTAATGAATGGATACAGTAGGCCTAGGCCTATATTACATGAATAACATGACTTAACATATTGTAGATCAAATCATTGCAACTAGCACCTTTGAATTTGCCATGTAACAAAGTGATTAAAGTGATTAAAGAACGAAAAATGTTTTTTACAGTGTCTTTAGATTTATTTGTAGGTGCAGAGGTTCTGTCTTAGCTTAACTGTCAAAATTTGACAGCTAAAGTTATTTTTGAGACAATCCCCAGTTATGATTCGGATTACCTTCACTTGATCCACATTTACTACACAATGGGCTATAAATAGAAACTGTCTCTCTTTCAAAACACACGTCAATGAAATGCAGTGACAACATTTCTTGTAAGGTACTGTCATTTGAAAACAAAAACACAAAAACAATGTTTTTAATTACATATTTAATATTAATACGATAGCGAAATACATATATTGATCCGGATTGCCTTCACAAACTGTATTATAAATGAAACAAATAAGGAAAGGAAGCTTCAGAAGAAAAAAAGGAAAAGAAAGAAAAGAAAAGGAAAGCGTGTCTTGGACCGGGAAAAGAAGGTTAAAGTACTAAAAATAAGTAGAAGAAGGCGATACAACATTACAAAACAAATAGATGATATGAATGAATAGATAGATATGTAAACAGAATACAAATCGAACAAGAAACCTTCCCTATATGCCATGAAAAAAAGTTCTGAGCATCTAGATACTAGTTAAGGAATTAGGACGCTTGTATATTCCTTGAACATACTGATGCTTGTAAGTGATAACATCAAATAAAGTATAATGCGGATAATGTGTTCAGGGAAAATATAGTAAATAGACTGGCAATAAAATATGCCATAATAACATTGTTATATTTGATCTGACTTGTTCACCTTTCTTTCATTCTCACATCTTTTACTTTTCACAATAACAATAAAACTGAGTCTGTAGATAGCCAAAAAAAATATGTTATTGTTTTTGTTTCTATGGAAACAAATAATTAAAAACAATTGTACAGTACTAATCATTATATACAGCATGTCATAAGACGTGTAATAACGTGATGCTTTAAACGCTCTATATTATCAATAAATTTGAACAATTACATGCTTATTGTGTTGTTAACTCTTACTTAATTTTGCATTTTTTAATTTGATACTTAACCAATTTTACGTACAATTAACAGATTTCTAAATTTAAAACACAGCAAGTCTATTGTGTATAAGCCTACGGAAATTGCGTGTGTATGCCCTTAGCAAGTTTTGTTTGTTTTTGTTTGTTTTTGGGTTGTACGTCACATCGACACAATATAGGCCATATCGCGACGTTCCAGCTTTTCTGCTGGAGGAAGACCTCATTATTTCAGGCAGGAACAGGCACCTGAGTAGAACCACCGGCGTTCCGCAAGCTAGCTGGATAGCTTCCTCACATGAAAGAATCCAAGTCCATGTCGGGATTCGAACCCACAGCGGTGAGGGGCAAGTGGTTTGAAGTCAATGACCTTAACCACTCGCCCACGGACGCCCCCCACTCCCTTAGCAAGTAATCGGAAATATTATTTATTCATTGTAGATTATAAGATGTATTTAAGCGTAAAAAATACATTTGGTAAATTTATTACTGACAATAACACAAGGAAAGCAAGAAACAAGTCATGTTATAAGCGCTGGTTAAAAGAATTAAGAACTTTGAGCGACAGCGTTTAGGTGTTCACTAAAGTAGATTTTAGGCATGCTCGGAATAATTGCATATGCCCCCACCTTTTTACGTTGGCAAATGCAAACTTACTTACTTGTAAATTTAAATACTTTTGTTTGTGTTAATGTAAGACCATGTTGTACGAATTTCTCTTTTGTGCTGATTTTTCCTGCCAAACTAAAATATGTTTATGTCGAATCCTCGTTTCTTAGTTTTATTACTAAAAGGCTTGAAAAAAGTATAAAGTTGTTCTTCATCTAAGGCAATTAAATGATAAATAAATAAAAACCATTCACTGCATTTTCAATACAAAGCGTTTACTCAAAAGTTATATTTTAAACAAATTGACTCTTTAACATTTACGAGTCTTCTTTTTGTGTTTTAACAGTATGCAGTGCATATGCTTGCTTATCGATTAACTCAGTTTTTCCTTTTAATATTTGTTTGTTTCATTTTACGCCTTTTCCCAACAGTATTTCAGTCATATATGCGGGTAGTTTCCTAACCATCGTTCCTGGAGAGTTACACCAGTACTAGACAACCTTCTTCCGTTCTAAACTTACAAAGCATCTCCCGGGGATCGAACCCACGCCAGAGAGGTACTAGATTAGAAGTCATCGACTCTAACCCCTCGACCACGAAGGACTTTGACCAAGAAAAAATATGCATTTTCAACTTGTGTCGCGCGAAGCCCAAACAGTATTTGACCTAGAGTCATGAAACTGTACTGACATGTTCATCAGCATGTAATGCTGTGCACTTTTGAGACTGCTTGTCTAATTGTCCTTGATTTAGTTAAAATTTGCAATTTTAGACTTGTCGTGTGTAGCCCAAAACGTGTTTGACATTGAGTCATGAACTTTTAAGAAACGTAGGTCATCATGTGTAGAGTGCACCTGGGAAATTGCTTGTAGATTGACTTAGTTTAAATTTGCAATTTTTATCTTGTGCCGCGCGTAGCCCAAAAAGTAATTGCTCCTAGAGTAATGAAACTTTTACTGAAATGTTGGTCAGCATGTGTAATATTTGTAGAGTTACTGCCGATCGTGTCTTAGTTAACAATTGCAATTTGTAACTTGTATTTCACCTAGAGTAATGAAACATTTACAGAAATGTTGCTCAGCAGATCTTTATTTGTAGAGTTATTGTCCGACCTTGCCTTAATTAATTTCAATTTTAAACTTGTAGCCCAAAAGTATTTGACATTGAGTTATAGAACATGTGTAGTTGTACACCTGGGAGTTTACTTATTTATTCAGGATTTATGGGGTAATTGCCCTTGATTAAATAAAAACCCTTCTAAAATGCTGTGTTATGGGTATCTCTACAAATGCTGGAATAAACTGTATAAGAATATTAATCAGCGTGATGCTGTGCACCTGCGGTTTTGCGTGTAGGTCTATTTCAGTTTTATTAGAGTAATTGCACTTGACTTACTATAAATTTGCAATGTGTGAGGCTTAACAAGTATATATTTCAGTATTTGTTTGCCCTTGACCGAGTACAAAATTTGCAATTTTCTACTTGTGTGGTGCATAGCCCAAACAATATTTGACCTAGAATAATGAGACTTTACAGAAATTTTGGTAAGCATGTGTAGTTGTTCACCTTAGTGTTTGCTTGGATAATTTTCAAATTAATAAAGTTACTAAGTGAAAACCATTCCAGAATGTTTATTGTTTGATTTTATTAACCAGCCAATGCATACTAATTACACGATCAATGAACACAATATAATAATCTGCGACAGATTTTCAGCATGTTTCGTGAGATGTACGCAGTTAGATATGATTTAGTTTAACCGTATATCGCAATAGAAAAAACTATAGAACTACGGTTTATGGTTTATAATTGTCCTACTTCTTGTAAGATCGAGACCGTGTAGAACCATACGTTTTCTATATTTAAATTTTCAACATCATTGAAGCTATGAACTGTTTTTATGCTTTGCTTTTTCCTAAAGTCTATGGTCTTTCATAATAACATAGTTTAAGAATTAATATTAAATGTTCATGTTATAGTATATAAACGGGTACGCTGAAGATCTTAAGCTAATTTTCGTACGGATCAAAATCAATAAATGTAATTTCAATTTTGTATTAACACAATATAAATCGAGAACAACGCTGTTACTAAGTTGCTTCATTATATCCGTGTTAACAATTCTGCAAGCTCTCCGCAATGTCCGATAAAATATACTATGAGTAAACAATGGCAACACAGAACTCTAATATATTAGGCTAGTACTTAAATGA